ATAATATTCCATGCACTTTTCTCTCCTTTTTCTAAAGGCTACTGGATCCCTAATCCAAAGTAATATATATTCAAAGTGACTTATTTTAGTGTAGCACACAAAATTATGGTTGAGAGGCTAAGCCTACCTCATAAACTTGAGGAAAAAGATGAAAGAATCTAATCGCAGGAATAGTTGGTATCGAAAAAGAAGATGATTCTTCCATCCCTCATACATTTAAACAGATAAATAGAAAAGTGGATTTGTTTGCTTCTTAAATTCCACAGCTTTGTCTGTAAAGCAAGAGTTGTGTAGGTCCAATATTGGTCGCCCACAGCATTGCACTTTCAAAGAAGTTTTGGGTTTGTGCTTTGTGGTGGAAAGATACTGTGGGATTTAACTTCAAAGAAAGACAAAACAGATGGATGATGTTAAAAGGCAAGCAATTAGCAATTAGATAGATACAAAGATATTTTCTTTTGGGTTTAAATTAACCTTTTAATGTAAAAAAATTAAATTAAAAGTAAAAAAAAAAAAACCCAAGTTTAATTCAATTAGATCATATAAAATATGACATTCAATCAATTTAAATTTTAAATTTTAGCACGTCTTTAACTCTATCCTCTAATTATCCTTTTTCTTGTTAAAAAAAAAAAAAAAGACAAAGGCATTGAAAATTTAGGGAAAAGGCTCTCTAGTGTAAACAAGAAAAAGAAACCGACCAGAAGCCAAAATTCCGGGTGTTTAGTTTATTAGTAGGAAAGGAAAAATAACCAAAGTGAAAAGCAATAATATTGCCATATGACTAAGAGACATAATGGAAAATGCCCTAACCTTGCCTTAATCATTGTTCGTTGCTGTCGTCGTGGAAGTACCAGCGTAGCTGTGCACTTGCATGCGCTTATATTTAATTTGATTTAATTTGTTTCCCATACATTCCATTTTTTGTTTTTAACATATGATTCTTTAATTTTTCCCCGTCAAAACACCAGTTATCAGTAAAAATTTTCAATACCATTTCATGAAATACTGGTTATAATTCATTAATAATATTTAAATTACATATATATATATAGATTATAATTATAATTTTATAAAATAATAAATTCAATAAAAAAAACCATTTTTTGTGACAAAAGCATGAGCATAATTATACCAATCTAAGTAATAATGTCGATACAAAAAAAATTCCATAAAATCGAAACCAATAAATAAATAAATATATATATATATAATGTTGCTTATATATATATATTATATCTTAATATGAAACCAATAAAATCTAAGGTAAAATTTGTTCTGATTGAGTAGTACTGTACTTGCATTGGTGTTGCCTTTCAAGCCAAAGATGAATAATTTATTATGAATACAAAACCATATATAATAAGATCATATATTAATATTTAATGCTAGCCAAATATAGATTAGACCCAATGATCTCTGAAAGAACATATAATGCATGTACTTTTATAATAAAGAAAAAAAAGTAATCCTTGCGGTCCAAAAAGGCAAAGAGTAAAGGAATAAAACCTAATTAAGTTTGACAATGCCTAACCACTAAATTGATTGGCAAAAAAATTGATAATTTTATTTCTTCCGTTTCGGACTTGTATTTCAATAATAGAATTGAGATTAATGCAATATAATTAAAGGCGATGGATCCATCAAAATTATTTTGAGATTGAGAAATTGATGGATGAAGGTATGCAAAGCTACAAAAACCATATGTTTGAAGCAGGTTTTGTGACATCCATAACTATCAGCTCGTTACAATGAATATGAACAGATTGTGACTTGTCATCGTTAGGTCTAATCGCATTGTTGGATGACTTTTGTCTTGCGGTGATGAACTTTTGCATGCCTTATCAGACATAAAATAATTGTAAGTTTGGAAGAATTGCACAATGTCACAAGAGAAAAGGTCAAAGGAGCACTGTCAAATTCAGCAGCAGGTACTCTTCTGCCATTTTTCGTATGTCAAATGTCCACAGTGAATATTGAACATTCAATTCCAATAATCAATCTTAATTAATTGCTAACACGATTATGAAATTTTATTTACGATCTTAAGTTCATCTTACCAAGTGGTTTGCATTTGATTTATTGCATGTCCTTCGTCTTTAGGATGGATGCTTTGCAACCCAGAGCTGGTTTCTCTTTTGTAACTTTTTTTTCCCCTTTTCCCTCGAAGCCAGCAACTTGGTACAATTTTTTGTTTTTCTAATATGGGAGTATCGATTTTATGTATACAAGAGAGGATGGTGGAGCAACATAGATATGTGTGACATAGCTACAGTCTCTTCTTTTAAGGAAAAGATCATGGAAACGAAAGTTAATTGAGACTGCTGCCCACTTGATAAAAAGGGCTTGACAGCAACTCTTTTGTCCTTAAGAAATTTATGCAATCTTCTTTGTGAAATGAACGAAAGACTGAATCCTTATAAAAGAATGATAAAATCTTCGTGACAGATTTTGAAATTTCTCCTTTACTTTTAATTCAATTTCCATGTGGCTACCTTCAAGGATTTATAATGACAGTAATTAATAACCTTCAACAAAAACAGGTGAAAAATCTAATTGTAAGATTCATTTAGAAAAAATATTTATTTCTTGGTATTAACATTGATGCATGCTCTTTTTCACAAAAAAAAAAAAAAAGATAAAATTTTTTTTTTCAAATAAAATTTTTTTATGCATTTAATTTCGTAACTAAATCGTTTCCCTAGCTAGTCCACAAAAGGACATGTTTGGGGTTCAATTTTCCAATAAGTTAAAAAAACATATATAGCTTGTCCACATGATTCCTTTTTGTTAAATTGTTTCGCTCATGCCATGAGAAAAGTACAAAAAAATACAGTTATGTTTTGAAGCCAAGACATGAGACATGGCATGAGTCATGCTAATTGCCCAAGTTACAAGGACATAGAATTATTATGAAATATCAATTCATGTCATTTTTTGCTCATTTTTTCCCTTATAAATCATATGTCATGTAAGGTAACTTTTAGTTTATATTTGAGATGGGAAAGCTGAAAATGAACATGATAATTCGTATATTTATATAATATAAAATATTAATAATTTATATATTTATATTATATTTTATATATTGATATAAAAAATAAAATATATTTTTTTATTTTATTAAAATTTTTAATCATATTATTTTCGTATATTTTTATTTTAATTTTATATTATATTTTAAATTATTAAATCTAAATAAAATGAAGGTAAAAGAAAAGATTGATTAAAAGATGAATTCGAAACAACTTTTACCCCTCATTTTAAACATTGGTTTGACCAAAGAAAACACGTCTAAGGGAGATTTGGTTCAATCCAAGACCAAGACTTTGGATCCCCAATCGTATCGAAACGAATCATCCCAGAAAATAACAATTCACCCTCAGTTCAACTGTTCACACACGCAGAGACACAAACACTAAAAAGATGATAGCAAACCAAAATAAACACGTTCACGTCAACGATTTAATTATATTAATTTGCTTTTGGGACATTGTGGTGCCCACATGTTTCTCACTGCCAAAGTATATTTCAAGTCGTCCTGGCAGAAATGGGTAGATTTCGTCGTGAATTTTAAGGCATAAACTATTATTTTTCCAAATCTTTTGATGAAATTATTCAAAATATATTAGGTTTATTGGAACCAACCCAACCCCAGATATTTTCGCTGCAGAAACAACAGAAACAACAAGTTAGATGGCATGGAAATTTGTGCATATCTATTGGTCTATTATTATTATAAATATATTTGGTCAATTAGGAGTTCAAACCTTTAATTTGTGTCCATATTTATGTGTTTAATTAAGCTACCAAGATTAAATCTAATTAGATTAATGTGGCAACAACGGTCCAAAACTGAACCAAAGGGCAGGATGCAAAGTCTGCGTGATTAAATATTTTAAATCAAAGCATGGGCCATGCAAGTCAACTATCAGTTTATTTTGCACAAAGGGTACATTATTTTTGTAGTGGTCCAGAATAATTCCAATAATTTGGAAATTAATTCATTATTAATAGTGACCCCTCATCAAGAATGAAAACCCACATGAAATCTGGTAAATTTCATGCAAGATTTTTGGTTACTAAAAGTATATAATTAAATTGCTAACCACCAAAAACACTACTTCACTTGTTGTGTAACCCTGTTACAATTAATATGGGGAAGGAATAATTGGAGATGGTATACATTTTTTTACACTGGAGGCAGTCATTTGAATATAAGAAAAAATTATAGGTATTAGGTTAGGATTTATTTTTTATAAAAAAAATTATAGTTTAAAAATTAAAAATAAATTACAAAAGTTAAAATTTAAAATTTAAAATTATTGATTAGCACTACTTAAAAAATTTTTGATAATATGATAAAAAAATGATAATTTTTTTTTATAAAGTACATAAGAGGACAAAATTCTTACAAGAAAAGAAAAGGAGATGGTCACGTCCTTTTCAAAAACTTTTAATTATTAGATCAAGAGATAAAAGAATTTTTTAATATAATAAAGTATGATATAAAAAATAAAAAAAATTTAAAAATAATTATATAAATTAATTAAATTAATTTCGCATATGATTTAAATGTAGTTTCAAAAACAAAAGAGAGAAAGAGAGAATCTGTATTGGTTGGTTGCTGCCGGTGTTTGCAAATTTGGGTTGGAAGGGGGGGGGGGGGGGGGAAGAGACGGCGGGAGGGGGAGGGGCACGACTAAACTGAATAGTAAGAAAGACGCACGCAGTGGTTTGAGCTGAGCAGCACCCACGTGAAACATTCGAAGCGGTGGACCCCACGACGATCCTCCGTATCCGAAAGTGGACCCCACACCCATTCCTCTTCCGAATGGTATGTAAGAACTACCACGAATAAGGGAGAACCATCCCTCCCAATCTCTTCTCTCTTCCACACGTGTCACCCCCTCGCACGTGAAGAGCCACATGTCTCCCACTCTGGCCGCCACCTCTTGCCACCATTTTGTTTGTCCTATAAATTTAGAGCCTGGGCTGTGTATCTCATATCCCAAACTCCAAAAAGGAGCGACATAGTCGGTCAGACTCAGGCTTCTGTTTCTCCATAGTCCTTACTCAGACGCTTCAGCCAAAAAAAAAAAAAAAACCATGCTTTTTCCTTGAAATTCCTCGTTGCCTCCCTTTCACTCCCCTTTAACCACACTTTTTATCTCTAAACCCAACGAGGAAAAAAAACGAAAGGGCAAAGAAAGCAAAAGAAAAGGAGAGGAATCTGTGCATGTTGATTGTTGGGTGGTAAATCTTTGTAGTGGTATCAGGGCTTACGTTAACTCTGCCATCAAAGATTCTGTTCCTTTTTCTCATCACTCTCACCCGCTGTTACTCACTTTCCTCCTTGTCTCCCCTTTAATATTTTCTTCTTTCTCTTTCTATATATTCATTTCATTGTTCCAAAAGAAACCATTTCTTGCAGCAGCAAAAACAAAGGGAAGAATCATTGTTCTTTGATATGGCAACTAAGCTTCTTTTAACCTTTGCTATTTGTAGATTGATTGTTACTGTGGGATTGACCCTGGACCCCACGGAGCTTCTCCGCCTGGGTGTTGATGGTCAACTCAGCGTTGACCCCACCGACCTGGAAACGGCTTCACTCGATTTTGGCTTGCTCACCCGAGCTGAGCCACTCGCTGTCTTGCATCCGTCTTCGGCTCAGGACATAGCTCAGCTTGTGAAAGCAGCCTACGGATCAAATCACATGTTTACCTTGTCGGCTAGGGGACATGGGCATTCCATAAACGGACAGGCTCAGACTACAAACGGGGTTGTGATACAGATGAGTGGGTCGAAAGGGGGGAGGGGGCTGGCCTCAGGGAGGAAGCCACCTCAGCCCCGAGTTTGGGCTCGAGAGAGGTACGTGGACGTGTGGGGTGGGGAGCTTTGGATAGATGTGTTGATGAGTACCCTAGAGTATGGACTCGCACCAAAATCATGGACCGATTACTTGTACCTTTCTGTTGGTGGGACTTTGTCAAATGCTGGAATTAGCGGCCAAGCTTTCAACCATGGTCCACAGATTAGCAATGTCTACGAGCTTGACGTTGTTACAGGTTCATTTCTTTTAACTTTGCATGCTCCTTTTTTCTTGAAACAGTTGATTTTTGTATAAAAAAATGTCACAAATAACTCCATAGAGTTTAGAGTTTCCTAGGTCAAAAGATTTTCTGTTGATGTTTTTCAATGTCTTCTGGTGTGGATTTTGTCTTAATTGTGGACATTAACATGGTTTTTTTGGACATGAAATACTATTAAGATAGTTTTGTCTTAGACTCTTTAACATCTTGTACAAGAATGTTAGGTACGGCATGCATCATTTTTACGGCTGATATTTTGTTTGAATGATGGGCTTTAGTTATGTTTTTAGACTACATTTTTAACTGTATTTGAACTATCTATGGTGAACAGGAAAAGGTGAGCTCTTGACATGCTCGGAAGAACAAAACTCAGAGCTGTTTCATGCTGTTCTTGGCGGTTTAGGACAATTCGGAATTATCACCAGAGCTAGAATTTCTCTTGAGCCAGCTCCGCAAAGGGTATTTCTCAATCTCTCTCTCTCTCTCTTTTTCTTTGAGCATGAAATTTTTACTTGCTCAAAATGGTTTTTGGTTGGCTCCAGAGAGGGACACGAATCCTTTACAATTTCCTAGTATTAGTAATGCCAAAACCTAAAAAGAAAAGTATCATGACCTCATAGTTAAAGGGTGTGTGTTAGGTCCATTTCAGCCATTTAACCCCATTTCAAGCGGTTGTTTCTAAAGATGGCAATGTTGTAGACGTGACGTTTGTGCCACTAACTTGATTTTTTTTTCTTTTTGTTCTTGTTTGTTTCGATCACTGTAGGTGAGGTGGATCAGGGTACTGTATTCCAAATTTTCGGATTTTACCAGGGACCAAGAGTATCTCATTTCCCTGCCTGCACAACCAGCTAGCCAAAAATTCGACTATGTCGAAGGTTTCGTTATTGTAGACCAAGGGCTCATCAACAATTGGAGATCTTCCTTCTTTTCCCCTCGAAACCCTGTCAAAATTTCGTCCCTGGGGGCTGATGGAGGCGTGTTGTATTGCTTGGAAATCACCAAGAACTACCATGAATCTACTGCTGATGCCACTGATCAGGTATATACCATCCTTGACCTTTGCTTTTCCTACAATCCTTATCCTCTGAATCTGTCATTAATGATATTTTTTAGTGCATTAATTGTTATTAATTAGAAGTACTAAGTACAACTCAAGCCTAAATTAATTAATTCAAAGTGGTTGGCGTTTATTATCCATTATAAAACAAAACTACTATTCTTGTTTCTTATATGACGTATGCTGTCTGTATTTGAACAGCTACCATATTCCTAATTAATTAGTCTTGTTTATTTCTTTTAATACACTATAATTTGAAGATTTGAATCTATCTTTTTTTTTTTTTCAATTTTATTATACTATATATAATATATGAGTTAATTTTTTATGCTAGATCCATAATTTAAAAATCCCTCCCTTAGTTTTTAGTTGGAAAGTTAGATAGTTTGCATCATTTATTATAGGCAAATATAACAAACGAGACTTTGAATTTTATTATTTTATTTAGATAAATTTTTATACTTTTATTACATCTAAATAAGCTCTTAAATTTTAATTTAAACGTAAATAAACCCTTAATATTTAATCTGTATCCAAATAAGTCATTAATTATTAATTTATACCTAAATAAATTCTTAATATAAATCAATATTTTATTTGAAATAAAGATTTATTTGGATACAAATCAAATGATAAAAACTTATTTGGATATAATAAAAGTATATAAACTTATTTAAGAAAAATAAAATAGTTCAAGAGCTTTTTAGTAATTTATCCTTTATTATATGAAAGCTGTTAACCAATATCTAATGATATTTTGAGAAGAAAAAATTTATAATTAATACATTGTTTTATTTTTAATGGAGTGAAAAAAATATATGAACTGTAATTTTTTTAAAAATTATTTTTTTATTATTTTTAACCAATATCTATAAGTATTTATAATTTTTTTTAATGTTAGAATATTTCCACCTGCCTCATTTTTCTTCTTTTGCATTATTGTGCACATCCAAAGTCATTGGGTTTTGTCTTTTTTTATAAAGCCATATCATCTCAGGGGTTGTCCTGTCCCTCTTTACTAGATTAGATGATAAAGATTATTACTCTCTAAAGTAAAAATATTATTTGAAGAATATCCTACGAAATGTAATGGAAGCATATGCAAGATAACATGGAAGATCTTGTGTGATCTATCATCCCATCCAAACATAAGAATAAGCACTAATTTATGAATTATAATCCTATATTACATTAAATATTACTAAATCTAAGCCTTCCGTTGTCCACTCACCAAATTATTCTCCTCTAATTACTCTCTCTTCCCTGAGTTATATTAAAAGAATTTGTTGGAATCGAACTTATCCTGACAAAAGCAACTGTTTGGTTTGATAGCAGTTTCTTCTTTAAGTACTTTGGTTGTATATTCTAATTTTTTTTTTTTGTTTAATTCAAGCTTAGGGTGGTCTTTTTATTGCAGGAAGTAGAGTCTTTGTTGAAGAAATTAAATTTTATACCGACATCAGTGTTTACAACTGATCTGCTGTATGTGGATTTCTTGGACCGGGTTCACAAGGCCGAGTTGAAGCTCCGGTCCAAGGGTTTGTGGGAGGTTCCACACCCATGGCTAAACCTTTTTGTTCCTAAATCAAAGATTGCTGACTTCGATAAGGGAGTCTTCAAGGGCATTTTGGGGAATAAAACGAGTGGGCCAATTCTCATCTACCCAATGAACAAAAACAAGTAAGCCTTCGAGAATCCATTGTTGTCCTTTCTCATGACCTTTTTACACCTAGCATTCCATGCATGATACATGCAAATATTAATCTTCTCATGACTCATGCATACCCACTTGCCCACTTAGTTCATGATGCATCATGATGTTGAAGTCACCCTTCCATATATATCATAATTTTACATAGACGTGATCAACACTATGAATTGTTTGTATATCATATACGCATGCTAATTAATGTTTCCATATGCCTATAAAAATGCATAATCAATGCCTTTAACCCTCCTTAACACAAAGAGATCGTGTGTCGGCAATTATTTTAGAAACCTCTAGAGTCTGGACTATGTAAAGGAATCACCCATATGTTGCATTAAATGACAAAGAAAAGATTGTCGATGTCGGCAACGACAGGTTAATTTACATTGTCATCGAGTTTTCACTTTCGATGTTAACGAGCCTGATTGACCATATCACAGTAAAGGTTTCGTTCCGAAAAGAAGAGGGATCTACTTAATAGGTAAATTCATGGTCCTATATGTAGAATACAAGATGAAGAAGAAAGGGGGGGGGGGGGGTTCAAAAAATATCAGTTAGTACCACGAGGAATTCGACAATGGTGGTCCTGACACTGGATCAAGATACGTAGCGGTGCATCAGAATGGAAAACACGTGGGGCAACATGCACATGCTCCCAACGCCAAGAGATGAATGTTTTTAGTGATCAACGCCAGCTATGCTTGATAAACAGTTTTAGCTCTTTTGTTGACTGGAACCTAACAAATCCAGGGTAATGATCATCCAAGTGGGAAGATTCTCGTGTCAGGAGATCTTCTCCCACGGACCCACTGATGGGAAGTATCCATGTCTTATTAGAATGTAGTTCCAAAAACATATCCGTTAGTACAGCTTAACGACTCATCACCCCTCGAAGCATGGGTCCCTTGATTCGTTCAAAACCATCAAATCTCAACTACCATTTCCGCACAAAAACATGCTCTGACAACATAACATGTTCTTTTACTATGCATTTGCGCTGAATGCTGATGCCTTGTTTGTGATATGGTGCAGATGGGACCATAGGAGCTCCGTGGTGACGCCCGATGAGGATGTGTTTTACCTGGTGGCATTGCTAAGATCAGCTTTGGATAATGGGGAAGAGACCCAGAGCTTGGAGTACCTGAACAATCAGAATCGTCAGATTCTCAGATTCTGTGATGACGCTGGAATCAATGTGAAGCAATATTTACCTCATTACACTACACAAGAGGAGTGGATGCACCACTTCGGCAATAACTGGGATCGGTTCTATCAAATGAAAATGGAATTTGACCCAAGGCATATTTTGGCCACAGGCCAACAAATTTTCACACCCACCTTCCCTTCCTCTTCGAATATGGCTTCATGGTGATCGACGACCATTGATACAAACAAAGCTAGAAACAGACATTAACGTACTGACTTGGGAATATTCTTGTTCTTGCTGTACATAGAAATGGCATAAGAGGAGGCAAGAAGGGAAGCAAATTGGAAAGAGAGTAGACTTGGGAGAATTAGTACTCTCGCGCTGTGTGAAGTTCGGAAGGGGAATTGACATCAGATGGTGGAAAGAGGAGGATTGATTTTGGGGGGGGGGGGGGGGGTGCGGGCCTAATGATATTGCAGGGAACATGTGATATTGTCGTAATTGCAGTGCTCGTGATCCCGACCGTCCCAACTGATTGCCTCCTGGATCTTGTCTGCAGCTTTTAGCACAGGTGGTACCAGTTCCATCCAGCGTGGGTAGGCGATTTACTGTTTTTACCCCTTTTTTTAGGAGCTGTAATTATAAAACTAGTTTGTAAAAAGAAAATGCACTTCAGAAGCTTCAGATGGATGACATAGACTAAAGAGAAGTAGATCTGCAAGCATCTTTGTTTTGGGATATCCCACGTTTTCATCTAAGTTGCAGGATACTCTTGATTAGAAAGTCTTTGTCGTGTTCCCAGGCTAGGGACACTTGCAAACAAAAGACAGGATTGGCAGCATCACATTAGAAAACAAAAACAACAGAACTTTTAAGTACTAAGTCGCAAGACAAGACGTGACATAATAGAAACGTGGCTTAATCCTTCCCTATGATAATTAGTGGGCGGTTAATGTGACTTCTAAAGTGACATGGTTATTTTTTTTTCTTTCCCCTTTTCTCCCACAAAAAGCATAAAATAAACAGAAGGAACAATCAATAAAAGAGACAGACTTTGAGATAGGTTTCAAAGCGTGAAAAGGAATTAAGTCTGCTGTTGAAACCCTTCTATGCGTGTTACATGTATGTCTATAGCCGGTAACATCACCTAAGCAACCGGTGAACAATTTGGAGATCCAACTATTATCATTAGAAAAATCAAAGGCGAAATAGTAATTCAGATATGATGGATTCAGTGACGTGTCAATTAAACTTCGGCAAACTGATAGTTCTTCATCTAAAATTACTGCTCCATAACTTTGATATGGCCTGCTCTCTAGCGAATATAGACTTTTGCTCGAATTATGGCACCCCATTGACATCCAAAAAATAGCCTAGCACTGGATTTCCCTGTCCAAGCAAGAAGTTAAATAGGTCCAAAGGGGTAAGTGGCGTTCTTTTGTACTTTCAAGGTATCAAACCCTTCTTATCTTAATCTTAGCACATTGAGTTCGAAGCAGCTAGCATTTCATGTCACTCAACAGCATGATTGCCATTATTTTGAATCCTCAGCATCAATTTTCTTAGCGAATTTTCTCAAGGCAAGTGAATATATCATTTTCTTTTTCATTGATGTTCCTTCAGCCACCAATTTGACTGCCTGCAATACAAATAATATTCAATTATTTATAATAACAAGACATTGGGAACATTCTTAAAGATCACATCCTGAGAATTTCATAATATCTAAACGAAATCTAATTCATAGCCATACAGTCACACGTAAGGAATCTACAGCAAGCCTTTGCAAGATATAAATTTGTACATTAATAAAATTAAATTTGATAAAATGTAAAGAGAGTGAAAGAAATCATACGGAAGAAAGACAATGGCCACTGGAGATCAATTCCCTCAAGTCATTTTCTAACTGACACTCTGATGGAGTTTCCACACTGCAATTTGCATTGCCTTCAATCAAGAGTGTAATTTCTCCCTTTGGCTGGTGAGTTGAAAAAGCTTCTTTCGCTTTCCCTAGAGTGCCACGCCAAAACTGCCAGAATTAATCATCTTCATTACAAATCAAGGGATGTGTAACGATAAACCCACAAAGTAATTGAGGTCACACTGGCTACTAGACTTAGCACAAATAAAACTTCCCTTCATCCAAAAATGTTAGATTAGAAAAGGTTGGCATGCCTACTGAAACCTATTATGTAAGTGCCTTCATTGTATTTCCTAAAAATAAGATCTTAAAATCCTTGCAGTCATACGATGGTGACAAAGGAATATTACATCAACTGACAGTGACTGGTGAACTAATGGGCACATTCCAACATATAGGGATCAAGTGCTAGACTTCTAGGTGACTAGGTCAAACCACCAAAATGACAACTGGGTAAAAGGTCAATAACAGAATGAATGCTTAGCTGTTAAACCAAAAAGGCTTTGCAAAAGAAGCAAATGTCTTCTACAGCCCAAAAAAAGACATTCTCTCTAGCCAGCTCCTATAATTTTTTGCCATTAGCATCCTTGTCCTAATATCATAAACCCTATTTTTCTCTTATTTCTAAGTGTTTCACATATAAAAAGTGGAGATCGAAGTAATTGACAGAAAAATTAGACAGAACCAAGCCCGCAGGACCAAGAAGCACCGAAATACAAAGTTGAGGTACAAATGGAAAGATGCCAAACAGCTGGAATGCTGGATATCACTTATAAATATCTTCTATTTTACTTCCATAAACAAAAGTCGAATGGAAATATTTATGCAGACAAGTTCAAATCATAACCATATAAAACATGTGTTAAAACAAGGAAGTTCTGCTTCTTCAGCTCATTTTGCAGCAAGAATAGTTGTAGAGGTATCAAACAACTATTGCAAACAAGAGCAATTCCAATGTTGGCTGAAGAACACAATGAAGAAAAGCTTGAAGAGAATGGAAAGAACATAACTGAAAGAAAAACTCAATTCACCATTCTTAAACTTATTCCTCAATGTTCAATCATCAGAAACTACTTCAATAGTCCACAGATCTGTTTATATGAGCTCCATAAAGCCCCATAATATAAGGCCGAATGACATAAGGTCCAACTATAATGATGCTAGCCCAGTAAAACCCACATAAAATGGTCTAAACAAAAGAAAGTAAGCCTTGTATTTTAAGCCCTATTCTTAAAATTTTTTGCCTAAAGCAAGCCCACTTAAAACATTTAGGCAATGATCTCTTGTTCCGCATTTGGAATGCATTCCATAAGAAAGTGATAAAAAGCAGCATCTGCTTATTGATTGATGTTATAAATATTAATAACTTAGTTAATGAAAGAAAAAAAGGCTATTTTATCTTTGAACAGTCGACAGTTTGATTCCATTAAGTTAATCATACACATATATGCTAGGAACAATAAAATCAAAATTCCCAAACACTTGAAAAAGTAGCATACAATCACACAATGAGAAAAATACAAACCAACCTCTTCATGTATTTTTGTTAGTTCCCGAGCTATGACACATCGTCTGCAATGAGATTAATAAACTGTCAAAATAAGCCCTAAAGAGTCATATATTGTTTCCGCTTAAAACTTATTTTAAAGATGCTAAAAAATGCAACTGAGAAGATTTTATAGAAGTATGAAAAGGCAGATAACTACTGAAGCAGGACAAAGCACATCATGTCAATCAAGCAAGAGGAGGTTCATGCACTTAGAGATGACAGAAACTTGCCCAACCAACTGTAGTGAACCAGGTTTTTTCACCATCTAACAAGATTGCCTAAGGAACGGCTGATAGAGGTTCCTGATATTATCTGATATTTAGTGATCCTGATATTAATCTGATAATAGTTCACCACAAAATTAAAGCAAGTTAACTAATGAGCTTTACATAATTAGAGAATTAATTATGTGTTCTTTGCCCTTAGTAGACTGCCTATATGTTTTTGAGGAATGCAGATAAGCTTATGCATAGACATCAAAAAAGGAATATCTGCCATAAAAAAGTAAAAAAGAATATACTTCAGGCTCAAGTGGATTTCTCCTCCACATGGCCAAATAATAAACCATACAGTCCATTTTCTCATACTGAATCCCCTCATCAAGAATGAAATCTCTTTCAACCTCTTCCTAACTCTCACCATTTGATAGTAAACTAATCATAGTTCATGGAAGATAGGCAGATATATTGTTCACCTTGAGTCACCAAAAATAGGGGAACTTTCTTCGAGAAACTGACGAAGCTTGTGAGGAGGAACATAGAATATTTGCGTCGTTTTTTCACTTGCAGAAGCCATCAGCCTCTCCTTCCGTGAACCAGCATGCTTTGGAAGAAATCCAACTGCAACATTGTACGCGATAACGGAGTAAAAATTTCCAAACATTCACGGGAAGCATGTTCAACCACAATATTTCACATAAGAATTACCAAACGTGAACTCATCAGTGGACAACCCCGAGGCAGAAAGAGCAGTTATGAAGGCAGATGGTCCAGGAATTGGAATCACAGGAATGTTTTCATCCACACATATCTTTGCCTAAACCGAGATTCCAAACATTAGTCATTATGTTCTTAATAAAAAACCAAAATTAAACACCGAATTCGCCTAAAACTTGTATCAGGAAACATTCTATAGAATTCGGTTAATGAGGATGCAAATACTAACCAGTTCTGTGCCAGGATCGCTAATGCCTGGCATTCCTGCATCGCTGATCAACGCTACGACCTCGCCTTGCCTTAACCTCTTTAAAACCGTTTGTTCTCTTTGAGATTCATTAAACTTGTGATAACTTAGCTAAAATTTTAAAGCACAATCAGAATTTTTGAAAAAAAAAAAAAACAAAATGAAAGGCATCAAACTGATCAAAGCAATAACAGCAAATGTCTCAAACTCACTTACAAGAGGAGTTTTAATTCTGTAATAGTGAAGTAACTTCCCGGAATGCCGCGTGTCCTCCGAGAGTATGACGTCAGCTGATTTCAAGACCCGAAGAGCACTGTATTGATGAAATTACCAATCATTTTTTAAAATAAATAAACAGAAATAAATAAATGAATAAAATACGAGAAATAAATTACCGTAAAGTGATATCTTCAAGGTTTCCGATTGGCGTTCCAACGAGATAGAGTCCAGGTTTAAGAGGTCCCTGCCACCGACATAACGAAAACTGCATTAGATAATTTTCCGAATAAAATTAAAAAGAAATAGAAAAAGTGAAAAAGAGGTTTTACGCGTTTGGAGTATTGCTCGGCGAGTAAGTCGGCGAATTCTGACGAAATGTGGGAAGCCGAGCTAAAGGAAAGGAGGCTAAGTTTAGGGTAACAGCCGAGAGAATTGAGGGATTGGAAGCGGGGCTGAGTGGAGAAGAAGTAAGGAGAAGTATAACGCCAGCAAAGAGCGGTGGTTGTTATTGAAACGGCGGTTGAAGGCAGTCGTCGGAGCAGCATTATCACATCAGGGGAGAGAACAGGAGACCAATTGCTTACAAACAATGGTTTTGGTTGATACTTCGGAGAATTTAGCGATCGCCTCCGGATCCATGCTAATAGCATGGCATGTCCAGGACCGAATGGACTGGGTAAGATTGACCTTTTGAGAACTAGGTCCAAGCCCAACTCGGACCTTGAACAGGGCCAGACAATTTGAGAACTAGATACGAGCCCAACCTGGCCCTTCTACGAGTCCATTTGTTTTTCTTTTCTTCCTTTTCGGGCCATTCCCTTCTATTAATTGAAAGATTAAAATCAATTTCGTTCTAATTGAAATTTATTCAAAATTTTCCAAGGAAAAAGGATGAATGAGTGAATGTTAATCCTTTTGTTCAATATCACAAAATTACGAGATTAAAATGTAAAATAGAAAAAAAAATAATTCTCTTCCAATGATCTAATGGGGAATTAAGAAAAAGGGCAACCACGATGTCAGCTACAAACATATTAAATGAGATAAAATTTGGAAAACTCCGGCAAAATTCGCAACAGTTAAGAATAACCCAAAGATTGAGAGCTTCATGCTGCTGGGTTTTAGCTTCCATCCCAAGTTCACAGCCGAGTGTTTCGCAACGCCATTTGGCAAGAAGATTCACTCTCCATACATACTATCAACGGGATAGCCTTTGTTGCATAATATGACAAAGTGAATTCAGTATTCCAGCTTTGACTGGATGAGACCAGATCTGGGAGAACAAAAGCAAATGGTCAAAAAGTTAACAGTTTCAACAAACCTTCACAGTTGATCTTGATAACATGGAGAGAATGCTGATGCAGATGGCACTGACAGTCATGGCTGGGGACCAGCTATCATGCAGAAAATGTACAAATATAAACGACCCGTAATATTGAATGTTGGTTAGCTAGATAATTGACATGTATATGACAACGAAAGATACAAAATGGATATTAATGACCAAGCAGCCTTTCCTGTTTTTCTACATTATCCAAGAAATTGGCGTGCCTAATTATTTTATATTAACTCTTGCAATGTTTTTTTGCTTCCTGCAACTTATATTGGTCTAAAATGCATACCAAAAAAATAGTACAATTGACATTTTATTAGTGAACATAATTGCCAATAGTGTTATGGCTCATGCTATCCCGGTATTGCTAACCACCAAACCAAATAATCACAACAGCATCAGAAACTTGAATAAAATGAAAACTCACACAGATGAAACACAAACACCGAGGAGACATTCTCAAATAAAATATTAATAGATGGATTCATGAAACACAATTTATAACAGATTTCTTTAAGTCCAAAAAGGCTTAAAATTAATCAAACATCTAAAGAACAAACAGTTGGAACCAAAATGCCATAGTCAATGTCTACAGAAAACTTACCTAATCATCATCACCCTATGGATCACATCCGGAGCTCACAGACACAAGACAAACTTCAGGATGAACCAAATATTTACTTGCTTGTGTGATACATGCAACGTTATTGAGAGTCGAGACTCAATCATGACTGAGATGAGTAAACTGCTCAAAACAAGTACCTTATCAATTATTTGATGTTTTTAAACGTAAATATGACCAACCTCTCTTAGACGCTGCAAATACATATTTTTCTACTAATATTTCCATTAAGAGAAAAACCAACCTCCCTTGGACATCTTCCCTAACCAATAATGTACTAGACTAGAGTGTTTCCAAGCATAGGACAGCAACAAAAGATTACAGAACCTCTAGCTAGCCATCTCTGAAAGACAAAGATGGGGGAATTTATCACATATCACTCTATGACAGTATAATTATTTTCTGATGCTTACTCACAAAGTGTTCAGCACCAAAAGAATACTTTGACAGTTTCGAACAAATCTTAATATAATCACAGATTGAGTAAAAGAAAGGAATGATGAAAATGACAGCAGCACAGCAGAAGTGCATAGGTCCAAAGTATAAATAATTGGCTCAAGAACTACCATTAACGATGATAAAAATGGCAATATATAGTTATTTTCACATCTGATGAAAAACTGAATGCTATAGCATTGACACATTAGAGGACCTTCCACTTATGTCATATGCCATTTCTTAAAATCTATCACTAGAATAAGAATTATCTTTCACAAAAACCACATGACTGACTACTCGCTACACTTTCTCCAGAAATATGAGAAGGCGACAGGGAACTCAAAGTGAAAAGTCAAAAAGAACCCCTAAATTTATGGTTACAAGCAAACTTCACAAACCATCATTATCTATCAACTGTAAACATCATACAAACTTCAAGCAATAGGGATGATAAAGACTGCTTCCTGAAAATAATTTTAGTTAGCAAAATGGGAAACAACAAATTAACTTTAACAAATCACGAGTTTAGTAATGATTAACCAAAAATTAACACTAACTAAACAGATATGTCCATTGCTATAAATGTAAGGATACAGCAATGCTGTAGGAATGAAAACCACCTGCTCACAAGAGAATACCGTAATCTTAGGTTATGTATGGTATATAAAATTATGATTTATGAATAAAATAAAATAAAATAAAATAATATTATTTTATCTTGTGTTTGATTTGAGCAAAAATTAGAATAAGATAATTTATTTATTAGCTAAAATTATCGTTTCTTAAAATTTATGCAATTTAAATTATTGATGTAATTTTTAAGCGTACTGTAAGAAATGTAAGTTCAATCCCATGAATTAAAAATAATCATCTCCATTTTAAGAATATTACCAAATGGATGATTAATCTTTCTTATAATTTTATCTCTTTCTTTAAATACAAATGATTATCATTTTATTATATCCACATCCTATGCACCGACCTAAATTCATAAATACAACAGTGATCAACCAAAGTAAATAAGGATCTAATCAAGACAAACAAATTAAAGACCAAAATCCCAAATTAATCCCCCATTAAAAGATTCATCCAGAGAGTTTAAAAAAAATTAGAGATTAAATGAAAGAGCAAACAAAATACTTTTGGAGATTAATCGTAACTTTGTGCTTGAATCCGGCTGGTGGATTAACCGGCCATTCCACCAACTCTTTCTGGAGTCTATTACATGCGATCTTGCTTAAACCCTACGCAAAAACAAAACGTCTCCAAAAGATTCAAAGAAATCAAACAAATAGAAAAATAAAAAAGAAATTAAATTAAATAAAAAGAAATCCAAAAGACGTTACCTTGCGTGAATGAACGGAGGAGCTTGATATGGCTTCCGCGCGGGCGAAATAGAAAGACAAAGACGTGGCGTCTGGTCTATTTTATATACGTTGGGAAGGGCAAAAATCTGTACTATACACTACTTTTCTTGACGAGAAAGAAATGATGTGAATCATGATTGGTCGAGAATTTCGGAGAAAAATATTTAGCAATTGGACGGTCTAAAAAAAATCTTCGCACTAGATAATGGAGATTGAGATATGGACTGCTATGATTATTACACGTGGCAGGATACAATTTTCTTTCGGAAGTGTTCCCATTGATCATGTTGATATTTTTATAAGAGAGGGAATAGGATTCGGTGCGGTTCGTAGGTTGTAATTTGTAATTTTGTTCAATGTACTAAAAACGATTAGTATTGTTATTATATATTTATTAATAAGAAAAAGAAAATAATATATTTTCATGAAAGCATTTCACCTCAAATTTATTTTATTATAATTTTGAAATTAGATAATCATAATAAAAAAATTATGTAAAAATCTATTATTTAAAAGTGTAATTTTATATAATTTTTTTAACTTACACAATTTTAATTTTAATTGATTAATTATACTATAATAATTATAAATACTATATTCTTTTTTAATAAAATCTAAGAAAATATTTATTGTCATAATCATATTTAATTCTAGTTTTATAATTTGATATTCAAAGTGAGTTTTTTTAAATTTCAATTACTAAATTAGGATAAGTTTTTTTTTCATGAAAGCAGTAATTTTTTATTTACTTAGATGGATAAATATGCAAGTTACGTTATTTGTATTTGAGATTTTTTAATATTTTATATTTAATATATTATCAATATTATATATTATTTTTAAATTTTTTTATCTTATCATGGACTTGATTCCAGTGAATATGACAAAATAAACGGTTCTATAATATAAAGTGAGTTGTCTGCTCATTTCTATCAAATTTTCTTTCCGTAAAAATTTTCTTTTCTTTTACAAAAATGAAAAAAGTATAAACATAAAATTTAATTGCCAAAACTGAATTTTATTTCTTGCGATGAGCAAAAAAATTTTGAGAGCTAATTTCCACAGTTCCACTATTAAGCTTCAAAAATGTATTGGAGTCGGGAATTTTGAGCCTAATCAGTTTCAGATCAAATCCTGAAAGAGTAAATCAGGAAGCAACGTACACTCTGATTAGTCTAATAACTTTGGTTACAAAAACTAAAGTGATCTTTGCTAGTGCTTCAATCCTCAGCTTGATCTGTGACAGCTTCCCTGCCCGTGGAACTGGTAGGCGTAGCTAATGATGGATCAGAATCTTGTGGAGAGTCCGCAAACTCCTCTTTGTACATTTCTTCTATCATAGGCTTCCATAGTCGAACTCGAGCATTTATAAACCAGTTTGATATCTGAATTAACAATAATAATCAACTGAGCTTTACGCGAATAGATGATTCGAGGATAAGAAAAAATTGTAAGGAATTATACTTGATTCTTGGTCAGGCCTGTCTGTGATGCCAACATCTGCTTCTCCGAGTCGGTTGGATAACTGTTCAGAACCATGCAAGAAATGGTAAGAATTGTGGTACATAGAATCGATGCGGAAGTCGTTAAACTTAAATGGACTTACGGGTGAAGGAAGTGTTCGAAAAGCCAAGACCGAAGGATTACTACAGAGTTATCTGGCAATCCTCTAATAGGCCTCCAAGCTTGCCTTTGGCTTGGGATCATTCCAAGCTGTTGAAGAGACAGTCGATTCCGTCTAGAATCTCTATCAAACAGGCTAAGTTGGGATAATCCCTTGTTGGTTCTCGGTAAATCGTGCAAAAACTTTCTTCTGATGACATTTATTTGAGATACTATGGCATCTCTTAGACTCCCAAAATGCCTGGACATTGCTTGGAGTGCCAAAGCAGTGTAAGGCTTTGCTGCTCCTATACCAGCTAGCGATTCAAATGATGAAACCACTTCTTCCATTTGCTGACAGTATTTCTCGTATCTAACCTCAACCTGGAAACGAAACAATAATGAAGTTACATAAGTAAATTCAAGTAATATTC